AACAAAAAAAGGGAAAAGGAAAGAAAAACAAAAAATGGGAATGGTAACCCTGTGCCCTTTTTCCTTACTGGGCCCAGTCTGTGCTTTGAGGATGTCGCCATTCCTGAATATACACATAAGCCCAGGCCACAGAACCAACTACACGTCCATCCTAGAGGTCCCATGGGCTCTCAATTAGCCAGGAGCAGGGCGATTGAGCTTCAGAGGAATCCCAAGGAGTCCTTGCTTGATAGTCATGGTCTTCACAGCCACACCAGGGAGAAAACTCCTGGCATTAGTTTGTAATTTGATAGCAGCTTGCCAGGACATGCAGAATTCATAAAAGTAAGAGGGTAACTCAGAGGCCTGTGTGCTTAAACAATCATAAAAGGGTTCCTAGGAGCCATCTACCTGTCCTCAGGCCTGAGCAGACTTCCCATAGGCATCCTCAAGGCCTCCAGCCTTCTTTTCTCACTGTGCCCATGAAGTCTTCCTTGTAGTTAATCTTCATCCATCTTATTGTATAAACCCCCAAGCACACTCACACACACCACACACACACACCTCCAGTCTTACAAGCAGAAAGCCATAAACTGACAAAGGAAGCTCAGAGGTCATCTGGCCCAAACACCCTGGTATAACACAAGCAAAGACACCAAGGACCAGAGAGGGGAGGCTGCTTGCCCAAGAACACACAGCAAGTTAATGAACGAGCAGAAGCTAGAGGTGAGCTCACCCAGACCAGTGCCCCTCAGGTACCCTGTTGGAGCCCATCCCATCTCATGGAAACAGGTGCTTAGAGGGAGATACTTATGAAGGAGGAGTGGGGCAATAAGAATAGCCAGGTTCACAATCAGAGTATCACCTGCATCCTCAGATTTGATCGAATCCTCATAACAACTCTATGACCAAGTTACTGGTGGGTTCCGACTTAGAAACCAGAGAAGTCTTGTCTACTGTCTCCCAGGGTAGCACGTGGAACGGGTCTCCCATTTCAGTTCTGTTCAGCAAATACTGGGAGAGTACCTGCTGTGCCAGGTGCCCTGCTGGGCAGGCAAGTCCAGAAGGATGAGGTGCTGCCCCTGCCCTGCCTGCCCAGCTCCCAGTGTGGTGGGGATGATTCAGCAGAATGAGCAGGGAACCAGCCAAAGCATGACGGCTACAAGACCACCGAGAGGCACCTGACCCAGTGGGAGGTGGGGGAGGCAGGAGTGGGCAGGGGACAGGGGCTGTTCTGGCAACACAGATAAGCTATGCCCTCTCCCACCCCACCCAGACTGGGGATGATCAGGTTGTGGGGACCCAACCCCTATGTAGACACAGCCTGCTCTTAATGGTTGGTGTCATCAGGGACTGGAGCCTCTTTTCTTCACCGCAGCCCATGGAAAGATGGGTACCGTGCTGGATTTGGTAGACCCAAGTTCTGGTCCTGACTTTGTCTCCTGCTGCCATGGCCTTGAACCCATTCTCACCCTCTGTAAACCTCCATCTCCTTGTCAGTAAAGGGCAGCCTGGTGCCTGCGCCAGCTGTGCCGCAACCCAGTGCATGGATAGGAGGATGCAGCAGTGTGCTCTTCCCACAATGCCTCCCCATGGCTGGCACTGCCAGGGTTAATCTTCATCAGCTCTGGACGTAGGATCCTATGTAGAGTTCCTGAGACCGCTGAGCCTGACTGCCCTTCCCACCTGCCCTGGTGGGCTGAGCTTGCCAGCACCAGAACATGATGCTCTGGCCTGTTTTCAGGGGTGGGGATGGGGCAGGAGGTCAGGCTGCCCTGATTTCTGAGCCCTCTGGCCCCTTTCTGCCCATTGCTCTGAAGAACTGCCCTTAGGAGGTAAGAGCTGCCTTGCCTCAGGCTGTGCAGAAAGGAAGGTTAAAAATAGGCTGGAGCCCTCCCTAGGGAGGGGAGGATACAGGCCCACCTGAAGTGGGAATGCTCAGGCTCTGCGAGGGAAGGAGGATGGTAGGCGGCCAGTCATGGAAGGGCTGCTGCACGGTGCCACTGCAGTGAACCCAGAGCCCTGTGCCAGGTCCAGCCTGCCCCCTACTCACAGGCTGTGTAACCAGTTACTCTCCACCTCAGCTGCCTCCTCTGGCAATGATGAAACGCCTCATGCTGCGGACCTCAAAGGGGTGGTGAGGAGAGCTAGGTAACAATGTGAACGCCTGCCAACAGAGACAGAGCTGAACCTGGAGACCCAGGGACCATGCCCCATGGCCACGTGCTACAGGCAGGGTGGCCTTGTCTGAGATGTGGACCACACAGAGCTCCTGCAGACTTCTCTGAGGTGGGACTGATGGTGTCTTGCCTCGTTACCAGGCAGAGCCAAACTCTGCAGCACCTTCCTGCGCCTGGCCTTTTTGGCTGAGAGGGTACCTCTCCTGAAATGAGAAGCCTAAATCTGGTTCATACCCAGCTTCCACTTCGCATGGTTCTCACCAAGCAGCGACCTTCCTGGGGTGGTACTTGGATAACACTGGGCCAGTTCTACCCCTCTCCTAGCCTCAGTTTCCCCATTTGTAAATCAGGGAGTTGAGCCCTCAGTCTCCAAGCTGCTTCTAGCCTCCTCGGCCTACCCCACAGGAGCGTGGTGAGAGAACTCCTATGTTGATTGAAATGCTTTTTAATTGACAAATTTGGAGAGAATCACATGGGAAGTGATTCCTGGAATCACTTCATTGGCTGAAGTGGGCAGGTTTCAGACAGAGTAGGGCTTCTAACTTTTGTGGGTTAGACTTCCCTTGGTGGCTACCAGGAAAACATGAAAGGAGTTCTGCAGGAGGCTTTAGGGCACCAAGTTTTCCTGACCCTGCTAAGCTCATTACCCTACCCCTGTTACATATATCTTGGGTGTTCAAAAGATGCCACCAGGGAAAATGCTTTCTAAACTTAGCTCCCCTGGGCCACCTGCCCTCAGCCTCTGCTCCACCTGAGCCTGTAGCTTAGTCTGAAATGACAGCTTTTGATCACTAGCTCAGTGGAGTGGTTAATATGCAGGGTCTTCAAAATGTTCGTGGAAAATACATATTACAAAAATTTATACATGAATTTCAATTTTTTTTTTCTGGCAGCAAATTAAACTTGTATTTTAATTCTATTTTGCTATGAACTTTTTGGGAGTATCCCTTGTAATACTGTCTCTGGAGTTCCCTTCCTGGATTTGAATCCCATCCCCACCACCTACCAACTGGGTGACCTCAATGGGTTACTTTACCTCTTTGTATTTCTGTTTACTCATTTGCAAAGTGGGGCTACTATTAGACTATACCTCAGAGGGTCATTGTGAAGTTAAAGGAGGTTCTGGCTATAAAGTACTTAGAAGAGTTCAGGGCACCTCATAAAAGCTACAGAAGTGTTAGCTAGTATTATGGACCAATCGGTGGTCCTCAAAGTGTGGTTCCGGGACCAGCAAAATCAGTATCTCCTGGGAGCCCACCATCAGAGGGCTAGACGGTGGCACAGTGCTAGCAATGCTCTGCAAGGCATACTGACATGAGGAGGTTGCCAGTTCACATCCAGAGACCTCGCTGAGTACTCTGGGCCTGCGTGTGCCCGTCATCTGGGGTGGCTGCGGGTGGAGGATTGTGGCATCATGACCCTGTAGTAGATGCTGTCCCTTTCTCTTCCTCTCGCTCTCTCAATTAATAAATACACTTTTTAAAAAAGAGAGAGAGAAAGGAAGGAAGAAAGAAAAGGAATGCCCTACCTGGACCCTACTGAATCAAAAACTTTGGGGTGGGGTCCAGCCATCTGGGTTTTAACAATCCATGCAGGGGATTCTGTTGCAGGCTCTAGCTGAGGATCCTTGTTATACAACCAGAGCTTCTCAAGTCTGACCCAGACACAGGCAGTTGCCTAATGTCCCTGCCTGGTCTCTAGCCCCCTTTGTAAGGCTGTGCAGGAACTGCTGGGTTTTACCTAATGGCTTAGTTTCCCATTCAATGGTGGCAAAGAGCTCTGGGTCCCCAGGGTGTATCCCCTTGTAACCCATATGGTATGGAAAGCCAAACTACTGATCACATCAGAGCCCAAGCAAGAGCTCCTACCTCAATTCCAGAGGTGAGGCATGGAACAGTGACAGAAGGAGGGCCTGAGAACCCACTCAGATTCGAATTGGGAAAGTTTGACACCTCTGTTCTCATCCCAGTGCTGCTGCTCATAGGCTGTATGCCATTTGGCAAGTCCCTATTTTATGGAAAAGGAAACTGAGGCTCAAGAGGTAAGACCTCTTCCAGTTTTAATGACAGTGAATATACAGACTGTGGGCACAGACTCTCCCACTACCTCCTCCAGGATCCACAGCTACTTGGGGTTGAGCAGAACAAGTGCTCCGATGCCCATAGAACTCGCCTGACCTGATGTTCAGCACTAGATAACCAAGGTGTGGCAGCCTTGCTAAGAAAGAAACCCCTTGTGGTTTTAACAGTCGGGAAGTCTGGGCTGGGTGAGTAAGGAAGAACATGAGTTCATGAGATGAGTGAGAACAAGTAGTGTGTTTGTACAAGAGCCTCAAAATTTCCTCTAGACCAATGAGGCACATGGTCTGCCCCATTATCAATATCTCACATTTTATGGTCATTTGGGCGGGGGGGGGGTCTCATAGAGAATTTCTGGATCTTTATTTAAATTACATGTCCAGAGTTTCTCTTCTAGCAGGACCCCTGGCTGCTAAATACAATAAACAAAGATAGGGAAGTAATGATGTTAATAATATCTAGCATTTACTGGGCATCTATTAAGTCCTGGGCTCTGTGTATTTTTATGTTTATAATTCTATTAATTAGGTACCATTATGCTCACTTTGTAGAAAACACATACACACATATACATACACTAAAAGACACTGAGTAACTTGCTCAAGATCACACAGTTAAAATGTGGAGGAGTTGGAATTTGAACACAGATTTGACTCCCCAGACCATGTTATTTGTAATATGCCTGACCTGACTGACTCATACCAAACCACTATCCTAGGCCCCAGAGGCCCAACCCCAACCCTAACTGTCCCTCTGATGGCAGGGTATGACTTTGCGGCCGTCCTTGAGTGGTTTGCCGAGCGGGTGGACCGCATCATCCTGCTCTTCGACGCCCATAAGCTGGACATCTCTGACGAGTTCTCAGAAGTCATCAAGGCCCTCAAGAACCACGAGGACAAGATTTATAATTTTTGTATTTTTGTGGTTATTGGGGGGGGGGGGGGGTCTCATAGAGAATTTCTGGATCTTTATTTAAATTACATGTCCAGAGTTTCTCTTCTAGCAGGACCCCTGGCTGCTAAATACAATAAACAAAGATAGGGAAGTAATGATGTTAATAATATCTAGCATTTACTGGGCATCTATTAAGTCCTGGGCTCTGTGTATTTTTATGTTTATAATTCTATTAATTAGGTACCATTATGCTCACTTTGTAGAAAACACATACACACATATACATACACTAAAAGACACTGAGTAACTTGCTCAAGATCACACAGTTAAAATGTGGAGGAGTTGGAATTTGAACACAGATTTGACTCCCCAGACCATGTTATTTGTAATATGCCTGACCTGACTGACTCATACCAAACCACTATCCTAGGCCCCAGAGGCCCAACCCCAACCCTAACTGTCCCTCTGATGGCAGGGTATGACTTTGCGGCCGTCCTTGAGTGGTTTGCCGAGCGGGTGGACCGCATCATCCTGCTCTTCGACGCCCATAAGCTGGACATCTCTGACGAGTTCTCAGAAGTCATCAAGGCCCTCAAGAACCACGAGGACAAGATGCGGGTGGTACTGAACAAGGCTGACCAGATTGAGACACAGCAGCTGATGCGGGTGTACGGGGCCCTCATGTGGTCCCTGGGCAAGATTGTGAACACGCCAGAAGTGATCCGGGTCTACATCGGCTCCTTCTGGTCCCACCCTCTCCTCATCCCAGACAACCGGAAGCTCTTCGAGGCTGAGGAGCAGGACCTGTTCAGGGACATCCAGAGTCTGCCCCGAAATGCTGCCCTGCGTAAGCTCAATGACCTCATCAAGAGAGCCAGGCTGGCCAAGGTGAGGCTGCCCTCAGGGATATTGGCAGAGTGAGTTGGGTTGAATTTTGGAGATCAGCTGCAAGAGCTAAGGGTTGTTACCTTCAACAACTGGGCTCTTACCTTCCCAGGTGAGTGTGTGCTATAGCCACTGCCTTGTGTGTGTCAGCCATGCCAACTCTGGAGCCTAGGGGCAGAATATTATGGTGGTTATGGTGAGTTATAGGCTCTGGGGTCAGATGGCCAGATTGGAGCCTGACTTCCCTATCTACTGCCTATAAGGTCCCAATCCCAGCAAAGACTTTAGGCTCTCTGTGCCTCTTTCCACATCTGTGAAATGAAAGGGTTGTGGGAGGGTAAATTGAAATAAAGAATGTCAAAGCCCTCATTGCAGTGACCGGCACCTTAAGACATGCCCAGCAAACATCAGCTGGTGCCACTGTCTCCAGCAACAGCACCACCATTACCATTCCCATTACAGCCTTGACCTTAGCTTCCTCACAATCTCACCTTGCCCATGTGATGTATTAAGTCATCAGGGAAGTCATGATACATTTTTCTTTTTCTATGCAAAAAGGCATTAAATGATCCGATGGAAAAATAGCCCAGCACAGCAAACAACCTGCAAGCAAGAGGGTGGACATAGAAATTATTTTAGAAGTAGGAGCAAGAGAAAGAGGAGGAGGAAAGGATTTGGGGGAAGAGAGAGGGTGAGAGCAATCCTAAAAGGAAAGTATAGTCAAGGGTCTCAATGTGAAGGTTTCTCTCTGCCCCATCTGTCAGGTCCACGCCTACATCATCAGCTCCCTGAAGAAGGAGATGCCCTCGGTGTTTGGCAAGGACAACAAGAAGAAGGAACTGGTGAACAACCTGGCTGAGATTTATGGCCGGATTGAGCGGGAGCACCAGATCTCACCTGGAGACTTCCCCAACCTGAAGAGGATGCAGGTAACCAGGCTCAGAGAGTCTAGGACAAGGGACAATGTCATGCAAGATGACTTAGCAGCCTGACTATGGAGGAGGCCACCTTGAAACTTACAGGATAAACTCAACCCAGAATCAGAAGGCAGGAAGGTGGTCCTGTCCTACTCGACTGTCACTGGCCCAACCAGTTTCATATCTGGACCTGGGAGGAAGCATGAAGCCCAGTGACCTAATGGGCACGGGTTAAGTGATATTAATGGGACTGACCTCTTCAGTTTCCGACCCAGCACAGGCATTCACGTAGGCTGCAAGTACAATAGAAAAGCCAGGAACAACCCCTAAGGTCCTGCATACCACACTGTCAGGATCCTCTCTGAGCTTTCATCTTCCCCTCTGCAAACTTAGGCTACAAAATCACCCCTTATACAGTGTTGTGTCAGTGAGATAATACTATTCGCAAGTCCTTTAGGAAAGAACCAAGCACCAACTAAGCCCTAGATCCACAGGAGCAATCATCAGGTGAGAGGTTACCTGGAGAAGCTGACACCAGTGAGCACAAAGGACCTAACTCTATTTTAATTATAAAGTCCTGTGATTCTATAAAGATTATAGAATCTTGGATTATATTCTAATAGAATTCTAATTCTATTCTAATTATAGAATCTTATGATTAGAATATTATGATTAGAATCTTATGATTCTATGATTATTTAAAAATAGAAGGATATTTTAATGAGAAAATTGTAAAAACCAAGCAATAGCTACCAAAATATTAGTAAATAACTGTTGTTATTCTTGTTTTGATCTCTATGTTGGAATCTAGTTTCTCAGTTTAAGACTAGAGTTTTCGGATCATCACTTTGGTCCTGAATAGGAATTTTCAGTTTCCCATCTGGTAAAACTAAAAGAAAAAAAAAATTCCCAGTATGCATCTGTCCATCTATCCATCACCCCACAACCATGCACCATGAGCCAGTCACTGATTGCAGAATGGCCTTGATGTAATTTGAGTTTCTTAATCAACTGTGGCTTGGAACACTTCAGCTCTTCATTCCTCCTTCTGTTAAGAATTTAATGATCTGTGTGTGTACATTTGGGAAGATGACATTTGAGAGGGATCATGCAGCCCTATTTTTAAGGAAAAGCAGACCTTAATTTCATTTTTCCATAAATGTTTTGATTTATTTTGCAACATAAATGGTTCTCATCTTCTCGTGTGTTTTCCAGTCCTCTACACTGTTCTAGTGTTAGGGATGCAGAGTCAGCAAATGGCTGTCCTGTTGGGGTGGATGTGTGGGTGATGGGTCATATCTCCAGGATATAAGGGAACCCCCTACATGGGAGCCCACCAAGCATACCTAGAGGTAAATCTGCTTTGAGAGAAATCAGGCAGAGGGACCCTGAAAGGTTATTCCCCAAGTGCAGGAGGAAGGCCCTTGTCTGCTTTGCCCTCCAGACACCGGCAGCCCCCTCCCACCTCCCTGGTGCAGCCCCACCCTAGAAGGGAGGTACAAAGTGTCCAGGCTAACACTTGCTCTTGAAATGTAGCTGTGGGTGTTTTCTGAATTTTTCTGCAGGGAACTTGATATGCTTGTCCCTGTGCCCCAGCCTCTTCCCAGAGTCCTGAGATCACTGTGGCCAAAGCCAGGACAGGAGCAGAAAGCTCTCAGCTGTCACACTCTAGAGGTCAAGAAGTTGGGCACTCTAGACAGCAGACATTTCAAAATTGCAAAGACATGCAGAGTGGAGCATTTCTCTTATAGTATAGTGTGGGTGCCTGTGGAATGCAAGGAGGGGAACTTTTAACAAAATCCACATGCCTGCCTATGCCTATTAGTCAAAGCAGTCTGAGGAGAAGCCAGTACTTTGAAAAGACTCTCAGGTAATTCCACTGAGCATCCTGAGCAAGAACTACTTTTCAAAAAATCTTATGGAAAATATGTAGTATTAAAACTATGCATGATTTCCAAAGTTGTTTACGACAAAACAAAAACAGATCTTAACTTCATTTTTCCATAAATTTTTCCCTTTTTTTTTTTTTTTTTATTTGCTGTAGGACCCATGTGCTCAGCAGAGAGAGACAGAGAGGGAAAATGAGAAAGCACATTCCCCGAGGGATGACCACGCTGTAATCCCTTCTCCTCTGTTCTCTTCTTGGGATTCTGGGCACATATGCACAGGGACCTGACATGTTTTTCAGGCTGCCAGGGTTGGCACTTGAACTACACAGTTGGTCACATGAAATCCAGCTGCTTTAACCACCATGCCATGGGCTGGCCCACATTTTTCCATAAACTTTATGAAGTACCCTTGTGGGTTGGGTGATGATTTTAAGTTTCTATCATAATTTCTTTTTAGTTGCCTGTGCCTCAGTTCTTTCTTCACTGAATAGGGAGAGAATGTAATTTCCCTGCCTCAGGAGGGCACTGGGGGAGTAAACGAGGTAATGCTGTGAAAGCCTCTTTTTTTTCTTTAAAGCTATAGGTTGTGTGGGCTCGCCAGAGAGAGACAGTAAGAAAGAAAATGAGAAATCACTCCCCAGCGGGTATGGCCACACCACAATCCCTTCTCTTCCTGGAATTTTGGGCATGCATGCACATGCACCTGGTGTGATTCTCAAACCACCAGGTTCGGGATTTGAACCATAGTTGAACATGTGGGAGTCCAGTGCCTTAACCTCCATGTCACACACTGAAAGTCTTTTTAGTGTTTTCTAAGTATGATCCTTATTGAAAAGGGAGCCATATGACTCCGCCTCAGAGGAGTATAGTATCCAAGACACACTGTTCCATAGCCAATAGCCAAAGCTAACCGAAAGAGCAATGTAATGGGTTACTCTGTCAATGAATTTCAAATACTGTAAAGAACCACAAGCTCTATTTGGGATCTTGGTGGAATTACAATGTAGAGAGCACAGATTTGGGTAAAATCAGGTGAATATGCCAAGGAGTTGAGCAGAGAGGTTGGTTTTATTACCAGGGAAGGGCTGAAGAAATCAGAAACAAAGTACAAAAAGCAACTGGGCACTTCAAAGTTACTTTCCTTACTAGGTTTAAGGCAGAGGGGACTCCCTGATTATGCTGACTCAGGTAGATTGCAATCTGCCTTTTCAGGAAAAACTGGTCCGTTTGGGGATCTATTCTGCTTCCTTAAAGTTTTCATTTGATGATGTGGCATGTTAAGACCATTTTGGTCTGGTTTGTTAGAGCCTGGTATAAGAGCTTAGCTAAAACAATAGCCTCCTACAATTTTTTTTAAGTTATTTCCTTCTTTCATGAGCTAGAAACAGGGACCCCAGCAGAGTCTTCCCACACCACAATTTTCCCCCCAGCTTTCCAGCCAGCAAGGAATGTAGGTACACCTGGCATGTTCAGGTCAACCCAGAACTGAACCCTGGGCCTTCCCATATGACTTAGCGTTATGCAGAGGCACCCTACCTAATTTTAGTTAACAAATCTCTGAACTAACCTCAAAGGTGATTGAAATAAATAGATCAGACCAATATTTGTTAAAATTCCCTTTTTTCCCAGTCCCTGCAACTCTTCCACTCCCTCTTGAAAAACCCTATCAGCCCTGTGGCCTTTTTTTTCCTCCTCTTTCATATCTTTAATTGCTTTACGATACAGATCAACTCAGCCTCCAGCTACATTAGGGAAAGGATCCAGACTGGAATATTCCAGCATTAATAGGAGGCACTTCTCGACAAATGGATGGGTCTCCTTCCATTGCATTCCATGTTTACCTTTTTTTCTCTCTCTTCCCAGGACCAGCTGCAGGCCCAGGACTTTGGCAAATTCCAGCCACTGAAGACCAAACTGCTAGAGGTGGTGGATGACATGCTGGCCCATGACATTGCCCAGCTCATGGTGCTGGTGCGGCAGGAAGAGACACAGAGACCCATCCAGATGGTGAAGGGTGGGGCGTTTGAAGGCACCCTGCACGGCCCCTTCGGGCACGGCTATGGGGAAGGGGCCGGGGAAGGCATTGACGATGCTGAGTGGGTAGTGGCCAGGGACAAGCCCATGTACGATGAGATCTTCTACACCCTGTCACCTGTGGATGGCAAGATCACAGGTGCTAATGCCAAGAAGGAGATGGTGCGCTCCAAACTGCCCAACAGTGTGCTGGGCAAGATCTGGAAGCTGGCTGACATCGACAAGGATGGCATGCTGGATGACGAGGAGTTCGCACTGGCCAACCACCTCATCAAGGTCAAGCTGGAAGGTCATGAGCTGCCCAATGAGCTGCCTGCCCACCTACTGCCCCCATCCAAGAGGAAGATTGCCGAGTGATGGAGTTGGGGGGAGTGGTTCAGACAGGCATGTGTCAGAGGAGGAGGCAGAAGCAGTGACCACACACATGCACACACATGCGCACACACACACACACACAGATCTTGAGAATTGCGTTGTAGATGAGGGGAACAGTGATCCCCACATTTGCAGGCTGGTCCTTGTTTGGTTACATCTCCAATTCTTGGGATTGGTAGAAGCATAAGGGCACTCTCAGGTCCCAGGTTTAAGTCTATGTCTCTATTCCTTTTTCCCTCCCAACTACCACATCCCAAAGAGCTGAGGCAATTTACTCACCACCACCCCCACAAATGGCCTACCCATCCCCATATTCCCCAGCACCTCCACCCAGGCTCTGAGCAGATGGAAAAGGCCTTTCATTTACTAGGCAATTCATGTTTTCTTTTCCTGTGTCTACCCCCTCTTTGTCTTCCTAGTAAGGAATCTACTCAGGGGCTAGGAGATATGAGGAAGGGGGCAGCTGCAGGGAGGGGAGGCAAGAAAAGAAGCATTCTTTGGGACACTGTGGTCCACACTTGAGACATTGCCCCATGAGCTGTTCTTTCCTAATTTAAGGTTCTGTCTTCCTCAGCAAATGTGACTTTAAACTCTGCCGTACTTTATTTCAAAGAATCCTAGAGGGGAAAAAGAGAAGAAATTGGGAGGGAAGAGCAAGGAAGTTGTCCTTAGTCTTCTAAGGTCTTAGTCCATAGATTTTGAGAGATTTCTGTTCTTGCCACCTGGCCTGTGATGGTGTTCATACTTGACTCACATTCTTTTAGCCTTCCCTGGTACAGGATCTATGTTAGGCATTTGATATATATTTTATCCCATGTGGTCTCAATAGCCCCTAGGGGAGGATGCTTCAGTCCTCCACTGTGCAAATGAGAAGTCAGATCCAGAGGACTTTAGGACCCTCCCAAAATCATAGAGGTCACACATGAGGGAAGATTCAAAGTCAGGGCCTTAGACCCTGCCCTGTGCTGTGATATGTGTAGGATCCCAGCATCGCTACCTGAGGACAAGCCAAGCATGCAGCCCTCTCGCAGCCTCCCAGAGCAGGCTACCAAAGGAGGTGGTCTGGCCAGCATTTGGTAGGCCATCAGTCTGGCCATCTGTCTCATCACAGAAGCAAACTGTGCCTTCTGGCTATGCACCCCATGTTCTAACATCGCAGAAGTCAACAGCACCAGCAGGTGAGTGGGCTGGCCTGCTGGATGCTGTTCGTGCCTGTCCTTGCTCAGCCACCCACCCAATAGCCTGAATCATCCAGCTCAAATGCAGCTACCGGTTCTTTTATCAGGTGGAACCTCATCCTAACTCTAGAAGTCTGGGGTCTTGTTCCCTGTAGGGTCCCCAGGGACTCTGCAGTCTCCTTGGCTAATCCCCACCAAACTCAGTGCCCTACACTCTCCCCTGCCTTGCTTCATGGCCACTGTACCAGTCACTTTGTATGCTATGCTCCTACTGTGATGGAAAAGAAGTATAACTTATTTTATATGTATGTTTAGACTATATAGAGAATATTCTATGTATCTATGACGTGCATACTACTGCAGTGTGTTTGTCATTAGTATTCATGTTAACACAGCACATTTATCCTTTTGGTACCCACCTGGCCACAGTGCTTCATTTCATGGGAGGCTGAAGGAGTGGGGCTAGGCTCTTTTTTTAGAGTTTCCGGCAGCATCTTTGGCAAATGATGACTCACTGGGGCTGCCAGAGATCAGCATTCACAAACGGCATCCCACTGGCCTGGGACTTCTCCAGGCACAGTGAACAGTCACAGGCAAGTGGTTGAAGCCACTACTTCCTGCCCTCGGTAGTAGGCGTGGTCTCAAACCCTGGGCTTCCTTTTGCAAACACATGTTTCTCTTTCCCATAAAATGAAGGGCAAAGGAAGCCCAAGGCAATGAGTTTCTTCCTCTCCCAAGTGAAAGCTCAGCCATGGGGCTATTTCTCAGCTCCACATCTTTCCTTGAGCTGAAAGAAAAATGGGAAGGAAATATCAGAGGAAGGCGAAGTCTCTGACTTTTTATTTTAAAAGAAAAGGAGATGTGTGCCCTCCCCTTCAGTGTCATCTATACACACACGCCACACTCCTGCCCTTCCACCTTTACTGCCTCTCTGCTCCCTTCTTTAAGATTCCACTCAGAAGACGGCTGTGAGGCATGAGATTCCACATTTGTACTATTCTCATCTCCCTTGAAAGAGAAAATGATGCCGGAGGTTCTTCCCAATGGAGAAGGGACAAGAGTAGGTCACTTGCTCTGAGGCAGTGCCCTCTAGCTTTGCTTTCTTATCCTACTGACACCTTCCAGTTTTCAGGAGCCTCAAGAGAGCTCATGCCTCAGCCTGGGAAACATTTGCTCCGAGGCAGTCCCACAGACAAGAAGCTCTGGAGCACCCACGCTGCTCAGTCTAGGCCACAAAAGCCCAAATGAAAACAGCAACTCCCTGCACTACTGACCCAGTAAGGCCAGAGGTTAGAGCCAAAGACCTAAACCGACACCAAAGTACAGTCATGTACATGTGCAAGTAACACTGCTGGCAGTAGCAGGGTGCAGGCCTTGGTTTGCAGAGTAGGGAGAGGTGACCCTGAGTCACTCCCCTACACACACTACCACCACCCATTTGGTCCCCTCTCTTGTGTTTTTGAGTTAGCTCCTCAAAATTAGCAGAACTATCTAGGGAGGAGAACAAACTCACCCATTCTCCCTGTGAAATGCTAACTAGCCTCTATACTTATCCAGCCCTTTCATCTTTTAATTTGTCCATCCATCCATCCATTCATTTTTCTTTCACTCAGAAGACACTGAGCATCTATTATAGACAACACCCTCAGGAAAAATATTGAGAGCCATTCTCATTCCTTGAGCCATTCAAAAACAATAAAGTCTACCTGTGCAGTAGGCACAATTCCCAATCATCAGATTGAGTTTCTAGATCAGAGAGTTTCTAGCCTAATACAAAAATAGGCATTTCTACAAATATTGGTAATGCAATGAGTCAACAAAACAAATGTGGTGGAGGGGGACGTACAGCTGAAGTGGGGCCTCAGGAGAGTCAGAAATGGCTTCAAACAAGGGGGAGGGTAGTCAGAGAAATCCTCCACTGCAATTGGTCGCTTGAACTGAACCTGAGAAGCCTTCTGGGGCCAGACTCTCAAGCCTATCTTGCGTATCTTCCCTCCCTCATCGAAGAGAGGCGGAATTTTTTTTTTTTTAATCAAAACTAAGCACGCAGCATTCCCAGCCCACCAAATCAGGACACATTGAGAACCACTGATATATTTGAGGAAAAGCACGATTAGAATTTTGCCTCTGGGGACTATGCTGACTTTTCACAGATGATTTTCAAATGAAAATTTTATCAGTATCTTTAGAGTGGAAATTTTAAATGCCTGGAGGAAAAGCAAATTGGTAATGGAGGAATGTCAGTTTTCCCTGCCAAGCTGAGGGCAATGAGAGGATGGGAGGGCTATGGCCCTCCTAATTGGTGCCATTCCCCACACTGTGGATCTCCTATTCTGGTCTGTCCGGGAGGATTGAGCTTTCTGTCCCTTCAAGTGAGGTGAACGTTGTGACTTGTTCGAGTTAGTGAAATGGAGAGTAAACAATATCCTTTCCTTGCAGAAACCAACATGTAGTTCTCCACATTCCATGTTTACTCCCTTGCCAGAAAGGCATGTAAGAGCAGGTGGGAAGATAGAGGCTTGGTCAGCCTGATTTCTGGGTCCCTCTGGAAGAGCTTCCTGAAATACACATGGACAGGGGATATTAACTAGCGTAAACACTGGTCATTTATCATTTGAAGCTATTAGTGGTTGTGGGTTATTAGATCCTTAGCCTTTCTACCGTCTAGCAAGTGAAAAGGAGAAAAAGGAGACCAAGTCTCTGTCGTCTTTATTTTTTTTTTTGGGGGGGGGGTTCTTGCCATAGGGACTGTGCACTCACCAGAAGGTATGAGAGAGAAGGGAAGTGAGAAATAACCCCTCAGGGGGAGATGGCTTCACTATAATCCCTTCTTTCCCATTCTCCTCTTGAGATTTTGAACATGCACACACATGTGCCCAGCATGAGTTTCAAGCTAGGGAGGCCAGGACTCGAACTGCAGTCAGCCATGTTCTGCCATATCCCAGAGCCCTACCCTTCAAGACCATTTTTCATGGGGAAGAAGATTAGATCTATAATGCCAAACACTGATAGGACTGCCTTCTCTTAGAGGGAATCTGAGAATTTATCTAGGGCAACACGGGGTAGAGGTGAGGAGACATAAATTAGAAAGACAGCAATTCCCATACACTTTGCAGCCAGGTTAAAGGTGTGATTTTAGATTCTAACCAGTTATACCCATGGGAGATTATGCTGGAGGTAGACCAATAGCTAGCCAGCTATCATGACAGCTTCCTAGCTTCACAGCTTCCTAGCTATGCTCAAGAAACTAGGGCTTTTATTTCTGAAGTCACACGGAGCAGTGACCAACTTTAGAAGACAGCGCTGTAAGTGACCACTTGCCGCCTTGTGTTTGCCCATCTAATCTTGGTGCTTGAGCACTGTTGAGGTGCACAGAGGGGGCCTGGGCTACAGCAGAAGAGACTTCATGGAGTCAGGGTGGGGAGGGGTGGTGTTGAATCAAGTTAGGAAGATACACTAAAGTGGTTCTTGCGGAATAAGTGAAAAAGAGAGGGCATGACCAAGTTTTCTAGAAAGAATGATTCAGGGGGATTGTCAAAACAGTCCCTTTTAAAGAGTCCTTAGGAATGAATGTGTACTCTTAGGTCACTTGAGACTGTTAGAAGTAACAATTCCAATTCCCTTCCCTTAGCATTCTATAAAGGGTGGGTTCGCAGGGAGCATCGCCAAAGCATAATGGTGACAGCTGTAGCCTGAAGACCGGTCAGCACAAAAACATAGGTTCAGGCAGGAAGAGCAAGGGATGAGGAATTGGAGCGAGCCATGAGAACTCAGTGCCTCTGTTCATTCTTCCCCCAAGTTCCGGACATTTCAGGACATATTGTGAGAAAAAGATGGGAAAGACAATAGATGGGAAAACTTGCCAATGACATCAACGCTCCACACAGGAGAGGTTTATAGGGACATGCTAGCAGAGGTACAGTTCAGGGAAGAGGGGAGAATCCTATCTCAAGAAGGAAAAAAGCAATCAAGCCCCATAAAAGGCACAGAGGAGAAGGGGATCAAAAGGAAATGTGGAGGATCTGGGGCAGAGCAGTCCTTATAGTATTGGATACCTGAAAGGTGCCCCAGGCCCTGGAGGCTACCTGTAGTAAAGCTCCAGGCCTTGGTCTTTTGTGGCCTACTACTGCCCAGGTAAATCGCCTCTCCAAGTCTCTGCCTGGCCTTCCAGCTACCATGACATGACTTAGACAGGCTATGAGCATTCTAGGTACACTCGTTAGGTTGGGTTGGTTAGGGGGAGGTGTTCACATCACACCCTAGTTCCAATGCAGACCTCCCAAGAACTTGAGAGGTGACAGCAGATCCCCCAGCATGCTGAATGCATGACCCAGATGGAAATGTTTGTCTTCATTCACACCATAGTTTTGTAAGGTAAAGTCTTTCTTACCAGTCAGTGTTTTTCATAGCATTTCATTTTACTTTTTTTTTTTTAAGAGAGATGTTTTGCTATAAAATGTATGCACTCGCTGGAGAGACAGAGAGACAAAAAGTGAGAAATCACCCCCTGGGGGAATGGCCACAGCACAATTTCAGTTCCTCCATTCTCTTCTTGGGATTTTAGGCATGCACGCACATATGCCTGGCATGAGTTTTAAGCTGCCAAGTCTGAGTTTCAAACTGTGGTCAACTACGTAGGAGTCCAATGTTGTCATCTGCTGGTCCCTTTTCATAGCATTTCTTAAACCTTGTTGAAGATGAGGAGCTAAAGCAGTGGCAAATGCCAGATCAGTGTAGAAAGGGGGCCCTGGGCGCATCCTAATCCCCTTCCTGGATAGGATTGGCATTTGTTTCACGCTTGAGAATATCTCAAACACACTGACATCATGAATAAACAGGTGAAATCTGACCAGTCCAGGTTTTCTCTCCCATGGGCCCTCCTGTACATTCTCCAGTCCACCCATCCTAGGATGCCTAAGGATCATCCCTCCACTGATTCTGTCCTCTCTAGGCTAGTGATGTGCATGCTTACACACATGCGTGCACACACGCACACAGACACAGAAACACACACGCCATCCCCATCAATTCTCATCTCCCACGTTCTACCCCATCCCGCAGAGTGGCTCTCACTATGGGACTGCTCGCTGATCCAAGGAACCAGGAGGCTTCATGTGCGACCATTGGGCACAGATACTGCTGCCCTGTCTCTGGTCACAGATGTGAGTCTAACAGGAACTTCCTGAGCCCCGTGGGAGAGATTCCTGCCAATCTGGCAGAGAAGACAGGGACAGACTCAGGCCAGGCAAGTGTATGAACACACGAGCATGTGGGTACGCAGAAGTCTCCTCTGGATCGCATCTCCTTCCTAAATACCTTCTTAGCTTTCTTGGCCACACAAGGCAATTCCCCACATTCCAGAAAACTCCAGTCTTCAGGCACATGCGATGGAATAAGAAGATAAACCTTTTTGCAGGGAAGTCAGCTGGTGATTCTTTCCCTGAGTAGAGAAACTGCCCCAGCCGCAGAGCAGCTGCAGTGTGTCCTCTCGATACCCTAAGGGTTCAGAGCCACAGGAACTGAAGCCTGAGATAATCACAGCCCTGAACTCTTCAGCAACCTTTCCTGGAACTTTTGAGATGAAGAAAAAACAAGCAAACTGATTCCAAACGTCTTAGCCAGATGTCACTCCTCAGTCTTGGCAAGTTACTGAACCTCTAGTTTGTAATCCTGGTCTCGAGGCCTGTGTAGCAGTGCCACTTAAGGCATCAAGGATTTCAATCAGGCTATCTCAACTGGATAATGACAAAAATCCCCAAGACTGGGTTTTTGGAGATCCAGTGCAAATACTCTCCTCAAGCAACTGTGACAACCCTACCTCCACCATCTCCATTATCTGCAAACCCCTAGAGCTTTGGGAGCTCCACCTGCCTGGTGACACCTTAAAGCTTAGTCCTTTGCATACTCGTTTAATCCTACCCACCCAGGTAGTTCTTTGTGGATATGGAATACAGTCAGCACAGAGCAGTGGGTACCTTCCTGTGGCGCTGAGTCCCCCTTCCTGGGTAATGGGCTTACTTCCCAGCTGCCAGCATTGTTGCCAGCTGCCAGCCCTCAACTTCAAGCCATCTCCAGAAATTGCCTTCAGCAACAGAGATCTGCCCCCACCATTGCTGCACTTTTCTTTTTTTTTTTTAATTCAAAAATGGAATCTATATTTATTTTTCCCAATATCACTTGAAAGTACATTTATACTGTCGACTTACTATCTAGCCCTTTGAAATATTTTACTATCCACAAAAAGGACTAAGGCCACATCATGAAGCAAACAAAAGTTTAGCAGAACTTTGCTCCATTTTTTAAAACAAAGTTTTGAACGTGTGAAATACATGTTTTGTTTTGTTTTTAAATTTGTTATACACTTCTCTTCTCAGAGCTGCTTCCAATGGCAGGCCAATGAGGGTATGCTAAGGCCTAGCTCCTTCCCTGCAGTCTGGGACAGTTCTTTAGGGCCCTTTCAGTCTCAGAACTCCCCATACGGTCAGCTGAGCCCTGAAGGCTGCACTGAAGCCACACTGTCCCCTCTGCCCATCCTGCTTTCCTCCTTTCCCCTCCCCAAGCTCACTCTCCCAAAAACTTCTGCAGGCAAAATTCCATCTTAGAGTCTGCTTCCCCAGGGCTCTGACCTGCAGAGAGCCTGGCAACTAGCAGCTGCTCAATAAATACTAGATGTCATTAAACAGTCAGTTGCTTTGTGGTAAATTCAGTTAGAGGATGGCTTTGTGGGGCTCATGAGCTGACTATGCAAATCAGTATGGTGGCTTTGCCAGAGCATAAGTTCCACATGGCACCAGACCCTGCTTGCCAGCCATTTTTTCTTTCTTTCTTTTCTTTTCTTTCTTTCTTTTTCTTTGAAAGAAATTTTTGCTATAGGGCACATGTACTTTCCAGAGTGACAGACAAAAAGCAAAAAATCTCCCCTCATGGGGGATAGCCATGTCTCAATCCCTTCTCCTCCATTTTTCTCTCAGGATTTTGGACGCACATGCACATGTGCCTGGCGTGAGTTTTAAGCTGCTGGGTCCAGAATCTGAATCACAGTCAACTCCGTGGGAATCTAGCAATGTAACCATTATACTATCTGCTGGTCCCTGGCCAGCCACTTTGAATTACTGACAGAAGGTGGAACATGAGTACGCTGGGTACGAGTGTGCCCATGATTTAAGGTTAGCTAAAACTGAGGGTGGGTCGTGGCACTGAAACCTGTTGGGGGTGCTGCCGTCCTCTCACCCCTCTGTTTCTCTTGTTTGTGGAAGAAATAACTACTTTTAAAAGATCAATGTATGACAAAGAATTAGAGTAAAAAAGATCTGGTGGGGGTCAGGATACCCACAGTGAGGTTCGAAATTCAATGGCTGTTTATTGAGAGCAACTGCCTGGGATGCTGCTGGTGGTAAGAGCCGAGACAGTGTGGCCGTGGTGTGCCTCGATCAGTCAGCAGCTGCT